GTCCGACTGGGTCACCCAGTCGCACTGGGTACCAGTCCGACTGGTACCCCAGTCCGACTGGGTACCCAGTCCCCAGTTCTGCACTGGCACTGGTGCATACCTAGTGACCAGTAGTACATGAGTTCGAAAGTTTGAGCAAGAGAAAGATGAGATTGTTGAAAAAACGTTCCTTTTCTAATTGATCGTCGTGTTCTACATTTACTGCAACGAAAGACATAGCCTAAAAACATTCAGATGAGTAATATTTATAGCAAAAGAAATCTCAATCACCGTCAGCTGCAAGGGATCGTTTCTCAAGTCTCCAGTCGTTGCATTTATTACGACATTGATCAACTGGGCGAGGAACCATCGGTAATAGTTTAACATCTTGAAGAAATTTGATGGTATCGAGTTCAGTTCTTGTTAACTCATGAATTTTTCTTGTATTTAATGCATCGAGATCTTCAATACGAAAGGCGTTAGACATTTTGAGGTGAGTAATAGTGCTTGAGTATATGAAACTTTCAATTTCAATGAATTGTCCTTCGAAATCAACCCATTTTATACTGACACCCTTTCTTTGAAATTCATTCTGACTCATTTAGTGTATTAGATTAATCAAAAGAATTGCTTTTGTTTCTTTAAACTTTAATTTTTTTAGTGCTGTGTCTTTGAAAATTTCTTTCTAATTTGATTAGAGTTCAATCAAAAGTCAGCGTCATCTGTTGAAAGACATTTATTTTATTCGATGCACACTTTCAATCAATCACTTTTTTTCTCGTTCTGTAACCAATAGAATTCATTGAGGTCTTAAAGTGTAAAAGTACCAATAAATACTGCACAATATTATTCTATTAATAAAGTAAATTAAAACAAATCGAAGATTTAATTCATTTATAAATTGGAATATTTTGAGCATATCCACGAATTATGAAAAATCCAATATATTATATAACGGGTCAATAGGTTTCGCCAACCATAATTAAACATACAAATATGGCGCTAGCACCCAATAATTATCAAATAAAACATAAATTATAAGAACTTTTTCATTTAAATTGAAATATATATGCTCATTTTTCTTTTTTTCTTTATTTTTCTTTATTCCAAATTTTCAATTCTGCTGTATTCTCCATGTAACAAATTCTCCTTTTCCTAAATTTAAATATTGATTTAATATTTACTTTAAATTTTAATTTGATTTTTTCCAATTTTTCTTTTTTTATTCTTTTATTTCTTTCTTATTTAACATTTTCCTTATTTAATTCGTTATTATTTAATTTTTCCTATTCATTTTTCATATTTAATTTGCGTTATCATCTTTCTTTAATTTCGATTTGATTTTCTCTTATTTGTTATAAGTTTATCTTTAATTTTGATTTTATCTGATTTTCTGTTATTTAATTAATGTTATTATTCTACTTTATTTTATTTTGTACTTCTGTTTAAACTTCTATCTAAATCTGTGTATATATTCTTATATTAATTTCTATTTTATTTGTGCTTTTTTATATAATGCAGAGCCCTGAAGAGTGTTTTCATTTTCAAATAAACTTTAACACGAAACGCGTTGGCGTTAAATAAAATCTGCATTATTTCTTATACAATTTAATTCAAGAGCACATATTAAATTAAATTTAAAATAATATTTTATATCGACAAAATAATCGATTACTGAAAAGTAAAAGCTGAGAGTAGCAGATTAATTTATATTATTTAAAAAATATAGATTGATTTGTTTTCAATTGATTACATTACACACCCTTATTCTTGGAATTTTCCAAGTTATCAAAGTCGACTCATGTAATAAATACTTGTCTCATGCATGACTCACAGTAAGATTGTGCAATGCGGTAACGAAAACAAAATAGAGAACAGAATAAATGATGTTACACGCGATGCAAAATAACGACACTTTCAAAAGAAACGAAACATTTACGACATCAACCAGTATCATCCATTCACACACATGACCGATGCAGAAATTACTACAGTTGAGAGTAAAGTTTCTCTTTCCGAACAAGATGATTCGTTGAAAGAAGAACAACTCTTTGATGCTGTTGAATCGAATAATGTGGCTATTGTGGAGAATTTAAAAGATGAACTTCAACGTTTATGTCAAGCACGCCGACTTTTTCCTTCTGAATGGTCGTCCCCAGATAAAGAAACACAATCAGCTTACCAACGTGCATGTCTTCTTGGTCGTACAGACATTGTGGTATGCATGCTGAATGCCGGTGTTGCAGTCGATCAAATTTTTCTGGGTGGTGATTCGTATTCAACTATGCGCGGAGCATTCCTTTTTGCTTGTCAATCACGTTCAATGTCAACCATTAGAGCTTTACTCAGCAGTGGTGCACCAATTGACAAATTTGGTTCATGCTCTGTTGCCTACGCCAATTCTTTTGTGCCTGGTATTCGTGTGTTTGGTTTATTTGCACAACAACCAGTTCCTTGGGAGAATCTCTACCCAATTCATTTTGCCATTATTGATAATAATCTCGAACTGTTAAGAGAATTGCTGACACCCACTACAAACAAGCTACTTACCATACAATGGTTCACTCCTTTGCACATAGCCTGTCTTTTCAATCGATCTCAAACAATGATCGATCTATTGCTCTCCTACGAAGATGGTAATGTTGCAATAATAGCCAAAACAGCTAACGGTAAGTTTCCTGATGAGCTTGCTACTGATCTGACAATAATCGAATATCTTCGACCTAAACGTACACTCGCTTACACTGAAATGGAGAAAAAACGCCAGAAAAGTCATGATGACGATTCAAAAGCACTCGAAGAAGGTACTGGCTTTCAAATTTTCATCAAAACTCTAACAGGCGCAACAATAACAATTACTGTCACGAGAGATGATACTGTCGAAGATCTAAAAGCAAAAGTTCAGGACAAGCAAGGTATCCCACCCGGTGAACAACGACTTATCTACGGAGGCAAGCAATTGGAAGATAGCCGCTTACTTACCGACTACAACATTCAAAAGGAAGCCACTATTCATCTCTTACTTCGTCTACGTGGTGGATTTTATTGTTGATGACTTCTTTTTACCCACTTGTATGTAACCAATCAAGTATTTGAATTTATTTTACAGACGCATAGATGATTACTAAAAAGAAAACAACGAAATTCTGGGATACCGTCTCTTTGCCCATATGACTTTCGCCAAATAGCCTGTCGCCAATGGCGAACGGCCTGTGGACTTTCGCTAATGCACTTCCTTCACTTTCGCCAATTGGCGATATTTCTATGAACTTTCGCCAAACACCACCTGCCTCCTCAGATGCTGCATGTAGGCGGTCATTGTAGAAAGCGTTGAGTGTACATCGTTGATTGACAGTTTTTATTCGGTTAGAAATCAAAGATGGCTGTCAATGAGAAATAAACAATGAAAAAAAGAAGAAAAATAACGCTTCAAATTCAGACTTGTCACGTTCATTTTTCAAGCTTTTCAGATTGTGACTGAGTCAGTTTTTGTCTGCCTTTGTTGATTTGGTCTCTCTCAGTGCTTCTCACTCTGGTTTCTTTTATTACAGTTTCAACTAAAATATTGACTTGCTTTTTTTACTCAAAACCGTCTTCAATAATAACTGGCGAAAGTCACGTGGAGGGTCATCAATACTGGCGAAAGCCCACAAGACTTTCGCCAACACACTACCTGGACTTTTACCAATAATTGGCAAAAGTCATATTGGCAAAGAGCGGCATCCCCGAAATTCTTTCCCTAATTAAATAATAATCAAGATACTTGATTTACGCAGTATGTCGTTAATAACTTCCGACGCTTACGAATTTGTTGCATAGAAAAGAGCTTTTATCCTCCAAAATTTAATTTGTATTCGAGATTTATTTCAATTAGTGCGCTATTTAATACTTATAACTTACAATTTCACATACAATTTTACTGTAGCTATATAACATTGATTCTATTCTTCCTTCTTAGTAAATAAATAAATAAATCATTTAAGCACCGATGAGCGTAGTGTTTTTTTTCGCTAACTTTTCCTGGCGCATAACACTCCATTTTCAAACCGAAGCTAACAATTGTTCAATGATGCTCTTACTTTTAAGTTTTTCGTGCGTCTTTATGAAGAAAAAAAATAAAAATATCCCACAGTCAAGGTTTTCAGTAGGAAGAGATTCGTAGAAACATTTCTGCTTTTATTGATTTGGGACAGAAGTCTTTCTAATTCTACAAAGGTTCGAATAAATGTTTATATTCTTTTGCAGTAATCAGAATTAAAAATCGAAAAGCGCGTTACTGGAAATTATGAAGTTTTATGGAGTTATGAAAAATAGTAATGTTTGGTCTTTCTCTTGTCTCACTGGATCATTACAGTCAATGTTGCAATAAGAAAGCTATAGTCTTAATGGACTCAAATATGTTTCTCTCTTTGAAATAAATTAGAAATTCGCACGCATCTATTGCAAGCTCTTGTGTACTAATTATTGCAATTGTTTTTTTTCTAGATTAATTGTTGAAAATAATGAGCGATAAACTGATGCGAATCGAGGATCTACCTGATGAACTATTTTTGGATATATTCTGCTTTAGTCGACCTAAAGATCTCCTTCAAGGATGGTATAACTTGAATTCTCATTATCATTTATCAACCATGTACCGTCCACTGCTGGACGAAAGTCTCTCCCATGTTTTTCCACTCATCTCTACTTTGAGCCTGAGTGCTCCAGCCGTTCCCTAAGAAGGAAAGAATTTCATCTCTCCATCTTGTTGTTTGTCTTCCGGGTTTTCTTTTCCCGTCTATTACTTGCCATTCTGTGGCAAGTTTGGTCCATCTATTGTCATGTTGTCTAGCAGCATGACCTGCCCATCTCCATTT